TGTTTGGATGCCCGATGTGCAGAAGGGGCTAGGGCGCGATAGCAGCGCTGGAGTTGAACATGACAGTGCTGGCGTTTCTGCCCTCTTTCCGCGTGGTGGCTTGGAGGTCGGACGTGGGGCTGTGGAGTGACGCGTGTCCAGCGAGCGGTGCTGCTGCTCAGGTCCCGGCCGCATCTCGGACATCGCGGTGGGTGAACGCCCCGAGGTAACCGCAGGTCACGCTGCAGGGGAGCGACCTGCACGGGGACTGGAAGGTTTTTCCTCTTGGGAACCTCCTGGGAAGCCCTGTGGCATCGCCAAAAGGGCTGTGGCGAGGCCAGGCCAGCCGCAGGACTGGCTGTGCTGTTTGGCCCACGTTGGAGCATAGAGTCTTTGGACACCATCATATGAAATGTGAAGCAAAAGCTTCATAACTGATAAATTAACTGCACCTCATGCTTAAAAGGAAGAATAGAAAGCTACAGCAGGGCTAAGTGCTCCAAAATGTATGGTTTTCTTTTATTTTAACACCCAGAAATGCAAAGCTGGAAGGAAATGCCTTATCTTGGCAGAATATTCAACTGCAAAGCAAGATTAGATAATAGCCTGAATATGTTCAAAAACTACTTTTTTTCCAAAGATAAGATGATTACTTGAAATATAAAGTACTGACTGCATCCTTAGGCATCTAGTTATCTGTTTCTGTCCATCTACATATATAAATATAATATAACTGATTCTCCAAAATCAATTCCAGCTCAGCTATTTGCTGCTAGTGCCTGTGCGTTTCCTCATCTGCTCCACAAGTTGCAATGATTTAAGCCCAAACGTAATGCAGAACAGCACGTGGGGTAACAAGCTGCATCTCCCCCCGTCCAGGAACTTCTGGCAAAAGGATTCTAACTTCCAGCAAACGGCTGCATTCTTCTGTGCTCAGCATGGAATTTGTCTCCGGTAAGCAAGACCAGCACACAAAACGGTGAATGGTTGACGGGCTCCTGCACTGCCCAGCACTGGGCAAGTAGGGAGGTTGCAACCACTTTGGGACCCTTTTGCAAAATCCCTGGAAACTACTTGCAGTGGACCCATATATCCAAAACGTGCACTGATTGCTCGCGTGGGTGCATTTTAGCTGAACTCTGGCTCTCGGCTCCTGCAGTGCAGGAGCATTTTGCTTGGGTTTTCATGCCATTTCCCCTCTTGAACTGTCTTTGCAAGCAGGTGATTTCCCAGCCTAAGCAAGGAAGTCGGGTTTAGCTAAAGTGCCGTTGTGAGCTGGGGCTAATGTCAAAGCCTTCAGCTTTGGAAGAAGAAACAGGGCTGGTGCCTCCCTGAAAAGGCACCTTTGCAGCAAGCGCACCGGTCTCTCCCTGCCGTCCACGGGTACGCTTCTGGTTTTGTTTTCTTTGCTTATTTTTGGAGCTGAGGTTTCTTTCCAGAATAGCTCCGGGGCGTGGAAATCGGGTGGCAGAGGGTGCCTGAAGGCTGTCACATCGCTGACCACAGCCTGGGCCCAGCCAGTGATGCTTCTCTTCTCATTTACTGCCCTGGAAAAATAATAATTAGAATTCAACATAGCAGCCAGGTCAACCTGGGCCAAAAAGGGACGCTCTGACCGTCAAGTCGTAGAAAACTCGGGCAATTAAAATAAAAATGTACCCTGTCACGCTGTAGGCTAGTAATTCTGGGCACAAACCCACCCATTTTTAGTGCTGACGACCAATTTTAACCACCTTCCAGGCATCGGGCCCTGGGGAAAACAGCTAGCACTAAAAAATAAGCCTCTGCTCCTGCGTGTTGTCACAGGCTCACAGGGCCAAGTCCCCCCTCGCCATCCCCATGCTAGACATGGGCCACCGGCCCAGGAAAGCCGGAATTTGGCCAGGTTTGGTTCCCCCCGCTTTGGGTTTTGCCCTGGGCTCGCTCCTGCCCCAGCTGAGGTAGTTGGGTGCCGCATCCCTTCGGGTACCTGCGTGGGTGGCGGCCTGGCTCGCGGCAGGGAGCTGCGGCCTCCGGCCTTCCCTTCGGCAGCGCCAGCCCCGCACGGGCCTCCGTGGGAGCTGAGCTCCTCCGTGATGCTCTTGGCGCTTTGGCATGTCATTTTTTCACGTCCAAAGACACAGGGGGCCATAAGACCTGGGTGCTTTTCGGCCCTTGCCTGGGTCGCCTGTGCTTGCTTTCGTGGGCCACATGCTAAACATAGGCCCCAGCCGTCCCCGTGCTTTTTAGGGATCTCGGGCAAAACGTGCCTTTTAAAGCAGGGTTCTTTTTTTAAAGCCTAGAGCAGCAGCCCTTTAATTAGATTAAAAAATGCCTCCCCCCGTTGTTGCCCAGCTCTAATTAAATGTAAACTTAAACCGAAGTGAGCGCTCGCCGCTTTCCCATGCGGGGAAGCCCAACCTGAGGCCACATAGCGAGGAACCCCTGGCTGCCTCCATAATATTCGCTTAAATGGAGCGGGAGGAGAGCTCCAACTCCAAGGATGGGTGTCTAAGGGGCAAGCAAGACCCCATTCCTGCTGGCACTAAAAGCCAGGGCGGGATGTCCCGCGCCGGGGTGGCCTTTGGGTGCTGGGTGCCTGGTAGGGGCGGCGCAGCTGCTTGTGCTGAGGCCGCGGTTTCTGCCTGGGCCGCGGGCTGCTGCGCTGGCACCGGGCGAGCGGAGCCGCCGTTTGATTTTTCTTTATTTATTTGCTTTTTTTTTTTTTCCTTTCTTTTTGTGGGTTTGCCTGGCCCGAGGCCCCGCTGGGAATGCCGCGGCCAGCTCGGGACGTCCCTTGTAATTAGGGTGCCTCGCAGCAACGCGGCTCTGAGGTTCGCCCAGGGGCGCGTGGGTTCCTCGCTGTTGGGACCAGCCAGCCCCAGGATGGACCTTCTCGTACATCTCAACCCCAATCTGCCCCAGGCGGGAGGCAGGGCCGAAACTGATTTTACAGATTTCTTCCATTTTGTGAAGGGCTTGTAGGCTGGAAAGGAGCCGAAATGCTTAGTTTGGCCATTATTTCCCTTTGAGGGTTTTGCTTTGGCCGGGGACAGGCCAAGCAAATAAAGGCAGGATTATCCAAGGGACCCTTGAGAACGAATTGAGTGCGAGCCTGGGAAAGGGGACACGGCCGCGCTGCGTCCGGCTTGAAGTAGGGCCCAGGGGCATGGCCTAGCTGAGTCGGACTCTCTGTTTTTATGGACTCGTTCCTCAGCGAAAAAGCCACTTTCAGGCAACAGAAATCCTGCTGGTACGCTGCAAAGAAAGGCCTGGGAATCGGGGACCACGTGGGTAATATCGGGCAGCCTTGGGAGAGATGTTGGAGGGCTTCTCACCGGCCAGGCCCTCCTTGGCTGTGAGCAGGTGCCCACAAAGGGTTCTCGAAGGCGAGACTCGAAGCCCGGTGGCCTGACCAAATTCCCATGCAGCTGCGAGAGGGCCTGGACTATAATAGAGCCACTATATTCCACCTCGAAGGTCCCCGTGCCCTCACAGTTTGGGTGGCCACAAGGGTATTTTTTGCATGTTGTCCCAAGCACTAAGAGTTGGCTTTGCTGGGAACTCATGGAAAGTTGCCACGTTTCAGCCTGAAGAAACAGCTGAAGTGGGTGAGCGGAGGGCACGAGCCTCTAGGCCACACTTAGTGTGTTTTTGAGGATGGGGAGAAGCTTAATAGCTGGGCATGTTGCAGGGTATCCCTGAGCAGCAACTCTCAGGAATGTGAAGGTGATATTTGGAGGCAAATCCCTGTTTCTGTCAAAAGAGAAATGAAATGGCCCTTAGTGCAGATAGTGACATTTGCTGAGATTTTTTTTTTTGCATAGCTTTTTAGTTTGCTTGTTTCTTAATGTCTGCATGTGAATGACAGTGGAATTGGGGAGGGAGATTCTTTATTATTTTATTGGAAAAAAAAAAACCAACGCTGTCAGAATTTTCCAAAAACGCAGGTAGACAAATCCCTTAAAACAGATTTCCCAATATTTACTTTAATTTCAGTCCAGAGCTTTTATTATACATTTCAGCCTCCCAACCCGCTCATCTGAGGCCAGCCCTTCAATTAAGCTACAAACCTCTTGGCGGCGGGGCAGGGCTTTATGTTTATGTACTAAATCTGGGCCTGGAGAAGTGTTGAAGTTTGGGGGTTTGCTGGTGGGAGCCCGCCGGCTGGCGTCACCCGGGCCGAGGCGGCGATTGGCTGCCAGGGGGCAAAAATAGAGTTTATAGCCCAGGCGGGTGGCAGCGAGCAAGCAGAGGCCGGAGGAAATCTGTGTCCGCTCACTCCGGGGACTGGCTTCGAGGACTGCGCGCGGGTAAGGTTGCTGTGTTTAGGGAGGGTGGTTTTCGAGCTGCCGGCCTTTCCCACCTCAGCTGCTATTTCCCCCTGCTTTTCCGCTGCTGCTTTGGGAGGAGAGTGAAGGGTTGAGGTTTGAGGCTGGCTGCGAAGCCTCTTTGGAGAGGAGACCAGCGGGGCTGTGTGGCGCCCCCGCTTCTTTTCTGCCTCGCCGGGGAAAGAACCAGTGCTCGGGAGCAAGGGAAACAGATTCAGAGCCTTACTGAATCACCAGAGCAGCTCGTTGATACGGGTTGTTTTCTGAGGTGCCTGAAGATAGTGCAAGTTTCTGTGTAAATAATAATAACCGTGGCGTGGCCAAGGCTTTGAGCCCTGGGCTGATATCCTGGCCTCACACAGGGCTACCTATATCGAGTGCTGGCAGATAGCTAGGCTTTTATTTTGAGCTGCATCCCCTGAGAAAGGCTGGATTGGACATTGTTTGGGCTGGAGACACAAGAGGGAAAGGTGGAACGAGCCGCTATGGCAGACAGGGAAGCTGCCATGTGCTTCTCTCAGGATCTACCCGACAAGACCTGGGTGCTCTGGGCTTCTTGCGTTCGCTTCTGCCCGTGGCCCTGTTTGCCCAAGGCAGACCCTAGAGCTTCCCTCTTGTCTTCCTGTTGCCGACGTCAACGTCCTGGGTGGTTTAATTCCCAGGCGCGATAGACCCATCCCCGGCGTGGTCGCTCGGCTCCCGGCGGCAGCCATGCGGGCGGTGCTCATCCTGGCGTGCCTCGTGGGGGTGGCCTGCGCTTTCTCGGTGAGTAGCCGCGCGGCCCACGCCGCGCCAGGGCCCCGTACCCGCGTCCCCCGTGCTCAGCCCCTTGCCTCGCCCTGCAGGTCAAGAGCTGGCTGCGGCGGGTCAAGGCGGACGACTCGGAGGAAAACGCGGTAGGAGCTCAGCGCGCCTCGGATCGCTCCATCCAACAGGGTGGAGCTGTGGGACGCTTTTTCTCTTCTTCTTCTTTTCCCTTTTTTCTTTTCCACTCTCAAAAGCCAGCCTGGTGAGATGTTTTTGTCTCTTCCCCCCCGCCCCGTTCCTCCGGTAGGTTTTGAAGAGCAGGCACCGGTACTACCTGTACAGGTACGCGTATGCGTACCCTCCGCAGAGGAGGTATCGGGTAAGTGCCGGGCGGTCGGGCACCCACCCGCTCCAGGGACACCCAAATTCGACAGTCGCAGGCACTGCCCTCCCTTGCTCTTGGCTGCAAAGCCAGGTTGCCCTGCCTGGGTCTCTTTGGGCTGAGGCCCTCATGTTTGTGACCCCAATGGCCTCGGGCACCCTATGGCTATGGCCAGACCTGGAAATCACTGGCCCTTGCCAAGCGTCCCGGACACAGCACGTGTGCCATGGGCTGAGGCGATGCTCGGGAGGGCACCCAGCTTTTTTTGGCCATCTGCATTATTCGGAAGCACGGGCAAAAGCGCTTTGCCTTTCTGCAGGGCAGTGACTCATCAGAAGAAGAAGGCTCTGAGGAGGAGGATGAGGGGGTAAGTACTGGCGTGGCCGTTGTCATGGCAAACCGCCCGGCAGCAGCTTGGAAAACCTACACAGAAATTGGGGACATGCCATGTTTTTTAGCCTCTGCTCCTCTCAATTTGTGGTCAGCACTACTGTCTGCCCACAGATTCCACTCGGGACTTGAAACCCTTTTGAGATTTTTCTTTTGATTCTTTTATTCATCTCCCTTCCTTTTCCCATTTTTTTTTTTTTTCTTTTCCCTTTTTTCCTGTTTCCTTTTGGAAGGCAAATGAGCGAGAGGAAGCTTTGGGGGTAAAAAGCCCCCCCCGAGTCTGGCCAGCTTGCAGAGCCGTGTTGCAGAGCCAGGGCTCGGGGCACGCCGGCACGGCTGTGTGTTGGGTGACAGGGCACCGTTCCATCCTGCGGGCAGCGTGAGGCAGGGCTCGCTCTGCCTTGCGGGCAGGAGCTGGGAGCAAAGATGATGAAAGGCTCTGTTCTCGGCGATTGCTGTGCAGGCAGCGCCGCTGCCATGGCTGTCGTCTGAGGGCCGTGCTGCCCACACTGTGGGGCCTCTGACCGTGCAAAAAACGCCTTTTTGGCCCCGGCACACGCTTGTCGCAAGCATGGGAGGTGAGCCTGTTGTGTCTCAGCAGGGCCTGGTCCATGAGGGCCACAACGCAGAGGGTGACGGAGCCGCCACCGACGCTGCTGCTGGAGCTGGGGGAGCCGCTGCCACTCCACAGAAGGTGACGCTGAAGCAGCTCCCGGCCTTGGGTGATGTTCTGGGGGGAGAGAGCGGGTAATAGCTCCTGGTGGCCCCGTGCAGGCCTTCCTCATGCCCGGCTGGATGCCAGATGAGCTGGTTTGATGCAGGGAAAGGGCCTCAGCTCTGTCCCTTGGGCTTTGATAAGCCGCAAGGCCAATGTGCACCATTTTTTGTTATTTTTTGCAAGGCCATCGTGCAGAAATACCAAATTATTTTCCTCTGGGACAGGACTGCAATGGCCAGGCAGGAACTGGCCTGGGCAAATCTGCTGGCAAGGGCGGTGAAGGCGAGGACTCCGAGAACGAAGACAGCGATGAGAACGAGGAGGAAGAGGAGGAAGAAGAGAACGAGGAGGAGGTAGAGGAGAACGGGCAGGGTGTTAACGGCACAAGCACCAACAGCACGGCGGAAGGAGACAGCGCTCAGGGCAATGGCACCGCCGCAGCAGAGGGAGGCAACGGCACGGCTGGTGAGGAGGAGGAGGAGGAAGAAGAGGAGGAGGAGGAGGAAGAGGAGGAAGAGGAAGAAAGCGAAGCAACAACCGCTGTCATCACCACCGTCAATGAGGGGCTTTCTGCCACAACCGCGCCAGCAGACACGAGCTCCCCAGACACCACCACAGCGACCGACGACCAGTGGGAGTATGAGATGACGGTCAGCGGCATAGAGAGCCGCACTGGCAACTACAACTACGGCCACGAAGGAGGGGACGCCCGTGGGGACAGCTACCGGGCCTACGAGGATGAGTACGGCTACTACAAGGGCCACGGCTATGATGTTTATGGCCAAGATTACTACTACAGCCAGTGAGGGGGCAGCTGACGGCAGCCCCCGCCCTTGGCGCTACAGCTCTGCTCGCCTGTCCCTCCTCACCCTTCTCCTGCCCTGGTTTCACTCAGGAACAAGCAACATGTCCATGCCTGCAAAACACAAAAACCCGGGCCCCCCTCGGCCGTGTGCTGACCACGCTTTGGTTTGTCTTGGTGCATCTGCTGGGGCAAACCTCCCAGCAGCAGGCCGCTCCAACACCGTTCTCTGGGCAGCAGCTTGGGCTAGACATCCCCAGATGCTCAACCCGGTCCCTGGCATTTGCTCTTGGGGTCTGTTGGTTTTGCGCCCAGTTTGAAGAGTTACCCTGTGCCCGAGGGGGCTGCCAAGCGGGTTTTGTTGAACACTGTCTCTCATCTGGTTTTATATCTCCTGACTCAAATCAAAAATAAAGCAAATGAAGCGAACAGGTTTGCAGTGAGGGGAGAAGTGACTTGTGTATTTGCAGTTGGGGTGCTCCCTTTTCACCGCTGTTTCTGGTGCCCTTTCCACCGTCCCATGTCCTGGAGCCCCCTGCTCTGTGTGGCCTCCAGCTGCGAGGCCAGGACCCCCTCAAGGGAGTGGGCTAGGTAGGAGGCAGCGCCTCACGCGCAAGGCCACCGCCAGAGCCTCGTGAGCAGCTTGCTGGCGCTGGGCCGAGCCCCGCGATGGCTTAAGGAGAGCCGCCGTGCGGCCTTCGCGCTTCGAGAAAAGCAACCTGTGTTCAACTCCCGATATAGGCCCAGCTGGAAAATGAGTTGCTATTCTCACACGCGGCCCTCGCCGGCCACTGGCTGCGTGACAAAACCGCTTCCAGTCCACCCGAGCGGTGCCCGTGCTGCCCTCGGCACCGGCGCGCTGTGGACCACCTGAGAGCTGCTGGTCCCCCCCAGGTTGCTTCCCACGGGCCAGCAGCTTGGGCTGAGGGAGGGAAGGGCCTGGCGCGGCCATGAGGAAAGGGCAGCCCTATTGTTCGCTGCCCCCCGGGCGCCAGTGGTCGCGTCAGGATGGCCCCGGGGGGCTCGCTGGGGGGGCCGCGGGGAGGCCGGGAGGCTGCCGGGCACCTCTCCCACGGGCCCCGCGGGCTCTCCCTGCGTAGGGCTTGCGTCAGGCCTCCCCTGCCCGGGCGCTGCGCCAAGGCCGCCGCCTTGCCCCGCACCGCGAGCCCCAGCAGCCTTGGGCAGCTCCCTTATTTCCCATTTGGGCCTTTTTTTTCCCCCCTTTTTTCTAGCTCGTTTGAAATCTTCTTGCGATGTAAATGCCCCAAGTGGTCAGCTTCCAACTTCAAAGGGGCATCGTGGAGCCAAGCCCCAGGCTCTGGGTTTCGCCCCAGGTCGCGGCAGAAGTGGGCACCGCCATGGGGCTCTTGACCCCCTATATTGTTCTCTCCCTTTGCACAGGTTCTGTTTGCTTTCCACGGCCCTTCCTTTTCCCACGTCCATCACAGTAAACACCCTGCCCCTCGCTGCACCCCCCTCTCCTTATTAATAACACAGCTGGCAGCGTGCCGGGCTAGGATCAATGCTAAATTATCGCGCCATTTAGGCTTCAGAGCAGATATTTATAAACTGTACTTTCTGTTTATTCGACGGGGTGGAACATTTGATAGCTCTCTTCCACCACAAGCACATTTTTAGATGAAAATTACTCCCCCTGGTTATCTGTGGGCACTTCCAGGTGTGACAAATGCCTGCGTGCGGGAGCTGATTGGCTCCGGGGAGTTATCGTCAACTTTAAATTTGAGCCACGGGCCCCGAGCCTCCAAACTCCACTCAAGGGACCTCACTTCCTGACGACAGAAGGTAATTTCCTTACCCTGTCTCTGCTTTATCTTTTAATCTATTATTTTCCTCCTGTAGTAGAGCAGCTCTGGCTTTCTCTCCTGGTCTGTTCCCTGGGGCAATGGAAGTGGCCACCAGAAGCCCGACGTAGTATTTAGGATTTTGTATGCAATATAGGCTAAGCAGGATGGGACACGTGGGAAAACTTTCTAGGGCGCTCACGACGTACAGATTCCCTTCGGATGCTTTCTGTATCCAAAGCAATATCTATTGCTATTTCTGTAGCAATATTAGCTAGTTGAACAACTCGCCCTGCAAGCCGTGGCTGGGAAGGAGGAAGGAAATAAGACTTAGTGCTCCACATAACGGGTAGGTGTCGCGTGCCGTTTATTTCTACTGCTGAAAACAGCATATAGGAAAGTCAGTATCTGGGAAAGCTGCTTAATTCAGAGCTGGAGAACGGAAGTGAAGCTTGTGCTACATGAATCACTCCAGGTATTTCTTTACCTGACAGACTTTTGTGTTCGTTTATTATTTGTATCCATTATATAGTCCCTGAGAAGAGCTTTGATCAAACAGCCTATGTAAGAACTGCGGGACCAGAGCTGAAGAAGCTTTAATGACTTCCCTAAAACTGTCACCTGAGCTTGCGCTCTTGATCCTTTTATTCCCGGTCCCGCCTGAGACATCCAGGCTCCGCAGAGCAAAGGTCAGGTCTGTGCAGAGGCAGCCGTAACTCACCTACAGTCTCCATTTATAGTGCTTGTGGTTCAGCATCCAGCTGTGGAGAAACATGGCTAGGTGCAGGCAGCAGGGGAAAAAACGTGAGCAAGTCCAGGGTGCTCTGCCCTAGACCAGTCTTCCCAAGAGCCTTGCAGCCCCTCGGGCCCTGTTGCATCTGCTCCCACACGTGAGTTTTACGGTCACACGTGGCACAAGTAACGCCTGCTTTGTGTCCCTAGGAAGCACCAAAGATGCTCGTTGCCCTCCTCTGCATGTGCCTGGCAAGCACGGCCTTCTCGATGCCCGTGAGTATTTCTGCCTGTGGTTTCCAAAGCTCCCCGCTGCGCCACTAAAACTTGGCAATCAGCTAGGCCTTGGCACGAGAGCCGCTCTGCATCGCTGTAAGCCTTCCCCTTGAGCTCCTCCCCTCTCTTCTGGTTTTCGGCCGAGAAGCACCCTTAGCATCTCCGCAGAAAGGGAATTGCAGGGAAGTACACCTGTGTTAACCACACAGGGAGCATGGGCGGTCGGATGGACCCAGTTTCCTGTGAGCTCCAAGGTCTTTATATTCTGACCCTTATAATAACTCATTTTCTTGTAGGATTAGGCAGGTGAGCAACCAGGTGTGTGTCATTTCCTCCCTAGGGTAGAGCTCACACAGCTCAGTCCATAGCAGGGCAGCACGGAGGGAGGATATTCATCACTGTGGATTTATTTTTCAAATGCTCACATAGAGCAGAGCTGGTTAAACACTCTTGCCATTTCTCCAGAGCTGCAACCCACCCCATACAATTTATAATCTGTAGTTTACAACCTGTCACCCGCCTGGCAAACGTCTGCCCGGACGCTTATGGACCCGTGCAGGTTTTGCCAGGTCTGCATCAGGGCTGGCCCTGGGCTGCCAGCTGAGTGCCCGGGATGAGTTATAGCTTGAGCAAAGACCTAATAGTAGTAAATAGCTTTTGTTGTTGTTGTTTTCTTCAGAAGAGGTAACCTGTACAGGGCATTTATAGCAGCCCGGGTGACAGAGGTGGCATGTGATGCCTTTGCTCTCACTTGTGTTCCCTCCCCCAGGCGCCGCTGCCGCTCTCCGGAAAACCCAGCGAGAACTGCGTGGGCCAGCACCGGGTAAATCGGCCCTTCCCGGGGCAAAACTCTTCCCCTGCAGCGGGTGGGGAGGGCAAGCACCTGCAGAAATACATAACCATTGCAAACATTGCAGCTTCTCTGTGCTTAACACTTGGCTTGGGCCCTGATGGGGCTGGTCTTTCTCCCCTGTGTTTTGCAGCGTTTCCCATCAGTAGACCATGCTGGTGTGGTTGAGCTCCTAAATACGGGCAGCACATCTCATCTGCAAGCTGTCATGCCTAATGCAAAAATGTTCATTGCACCCACGGGTTTTAAAAGTCTTAGCTACTCTGTGGGGTTTTTTAAAAGATATTTCAGTCTGAAATGCATCAGTAACAAAATTCAGCAGAATATTTCCAAGTAACATGGGAGAAGATGTTTTAATTTTTTTTATGATTAACCAGCTGTTTGTCTTCTGGCACTTGAGATGTTTTAAGTCCCATCCATCACATTTAATGAGGTCACTTATGAGATCTTGTGCTCAAGGCATGAGCTGCCTTACAAAGAAACGATAAATTCTGAAAGAAAGCGGAAGCTGAAACCCGGTCAATAGGAGCAGCCACATCCAAGAGCCAGGAGGCCCAATAAGCACCATCCTGCTGAGGGCCCCAACAGCTGTATCAGTTGCAAGGGGATGGCCACTATACCTGTCCCAGGACACCTAAGTTTAACCAGTGCCCAGATCTGGGCTGAACTGGGAAAGGACACTGAGCTTGGGCCCCAGAAGAAAAGCTCCTGCCATTGCTCTTACAAAAAAGTTTTTATATATATGTATATGTATGTTATATATATATTTTTTTCTCTCTCTCTCTAGATATTGATGAAAGGCTGCAATCTGAACCATGGCTTTTATTTCTTTAAATACGTGTACTCGTTTTCCACGCGCCGAAATCAGACGCAGGTGAAGGTGAGAGGAGGTTGCGAGTCAGGGCTTGCGACCTTGCAGAAAACAAGCGCTCCGATCTAACCCTCTCGTCTTTGCATCACGCAGAAGGAAGAGGCCACTGCTCAAAACAACGTCTCTCAGCCCCGGCTCAGTGAGGAAGAGGAGGTGGGAAGGAAGCTGATGGAGGACGGCGGGGCTGGCCGCAGAGGGGACAATGACACCGCTCTGCCGGAGCGCGCTGGACCCGAGAACGGCAGCGCTGCGGAGGACGGGCGGCCGCCCAGCACCGCGGTCAATGGGGGCAGCGGGGAGGCGCGCTGGCCCGGCCCGGAGGCGGGTGCTGGCGGCGGTGACGCTAGCCTGGCTCCCGGTGCCGAGGGCAGCGGTGACTTGGATTTCCAGGACAGGGCAGAAAGCGGCATTTTGGTCCTGCCGCAGCGCCCGGTCATGGCCACGCAGGAGCACGAGGGCTCCCGGGAAGGTGC